ATGTTTTCGTAGCATTTTGTTTCTTTCAAATATGATGATAAACCTTATAAAATGCATTCTGGAAATGATTTTTAAATTTTTACTAGAGATCGCTAGATCATTAAATGAAGCTTTCTGTTATCGATTTAACTACATAGAATTGTTGCTGAGTCACATTTATTTCGACGGCTCTGTAACGACTGTCTGACGGCATTTCGAAGATGTTAAGATCTTTGCCAGAGATTTCAGTGTGTAATTTCAGTTGAATGATGACAGCATTTCTGCAAGAATTCTCTTCTCAGTTAACGATTGGAATCATGAACTTGATACTTAAGTATTAGCTTTTCAAAACTTTATAAATCCATAAGACTTATAAGTTATACGAAACTTGATGTAATATTTGCAGGCAGAATAGAGCCGCCAGACGGTATAGTGGTTAGGGGAGCCTACTGCGATACCGAAGGGCTCGGATTCGAATCCGGGAGAAGGCATGCATATTTGTAAATGCATAGTGTCTTGGTGGCATGGGGACACTCTAAATACATGGCGAGCCGAGAGTCCTTTCGAGAGGTTGTTGGTAGGGGAAGAGGGGTGGGAGACCCTCGGACCAACGACAGGCGCAATGTTGCTTTCCTTGCCACGGTGAATTTAGTGGGCTTGACCTGATGTTACTGTCAGACAAGTCACAACACAACAGAATGATTAGAACAGATAATCGTGCTTGTGCCTCATACCAAAGTGCATGCATGTAACATAAACCTTTTTATGGCAGAATATAAAAATAATAGGAAGAAGTAAAAGATTTACTGAAGTAATTTAAATATAAAGAAAAAAATAATCACTTTTATGTGTATAATTGGACGTCTAAGATTCAAACTGTACTTTTTTAATGAGTTCAACCTGATTTCTAATAATTTTTTCGATTAAGTTTGTCCATTTAGCTTATTATTTTCAAGACATTTACATTATAAAAAGTAAGTTACCTAAGTAAAGTAAGTTCTAAACTTTTTTACTTGCTTACGCGTAAGCTTTTGCTAATAATGCTATGCTCGTGCAGACCATGTTTTATTTAATTATTTTTGTTTTGAAATGTAATAAAAAGTAATTGGTAATGAATAAAATTAATCAAACAACACAATTAGTATGGACGCTTTCGAGGTTAACATAGCGAAAAAAATCACTTCTCTTCAGTATTAATTTCCTTATGCACGTATTTGATCACAATAATAATATCGCATAAGTTCTGTCTGGAACTGAAACTTGTGTTGGTATTTTAATCATTTATAAAATGCTTTTAACTGTACACAGTTGTGTTTAAAAAGTGTCCAGCTGCTTTACGAAATATGCCAAATTAACTTACAATAAAACTTGTGGGAAAGGTTATCACTCATCACACAGGGTTATCGGGAAAAGATCCTCCTTCGAGGTACTTATCAGCACAATTCGCTCTTGTTCTGTCGAAGCTTTTTCTTTTTTCCCCTTTTTTAAGAGAGAGGAAATCCCCCCCCCTCCGCCGAAATCTTTACCGTACTCTCCAGTGATAAAACGAAAAGAACACAGGAAAATGTTGCAATTACTAGGGATTTTTCTCCAAAGTGTTAAAATTACTGTTTAATGTAAAACCACACAGCAGCTTAAGAACTTTCCCCTAAAGGAAAGGAAACGAACAAGAATTATCGAGAAATATGGAAAGCTTGTATACTTGTAATAAAAGAATAATCAAAGCAATTCCTTCTTACATTAAATTTTAATAGTTATAGAATTATATATTATATGGATTTATTTTAACAGTAACATAATTATAGACGAGATATTATCGTTAAGTTGATACTATTATAAATATCAATTAGATTTAAACATTTGTTCATGGTTTTAATTCATTGACGTTTATTTAGTAAAGATTATACCTCCTCCTCCCCTCTGAGCCTTCTAAACCAAGATTTTTTTTTTTTATATATACTGCAACGAAAGACCTTATAAAAGTTTTATACATTGGGAAACACAATTTCTTATCTAAATAAAAAGCTCTCATGCTGAAAATTTTACGGAGAAAGGAAATTGATTCTTTCGTAGTTTTGATTATAGCTCTTTTTTGCCGAATTAATTTAGTTGCAACAATATATGCACTTAGAATTAGCAGCATAAAAACAAGTCTTTCTTCATCTGCTGTTTCTTTTACTGTTCATATATGAAGAAAATTTGAAATGGCCATTTTGTACAGTGGCTTCAAGATATCATTATTTGTTCAACAAATAAAAGTAGAACGCCAAAATCTGTTCATGAGACTTATCTTACTTGTCTGGTCGTAACATCAGAACAAGGCCACGAAATTCATCGTGACAAGGAGTGCAAGACTGAGTCTGTCGTTGACTATATGTGTGACCTTGAGCACCATATACGTGACAGTACGACTTTGCTCAGATCCGCATGACTCTTCCTCTACCATCAACCTCTCGAGAGGACTTTCTGGTCTTCTCATATTTAAAGTGCCCCCATGCCGCACAGACACTATACATTTACGAACATCCATGCCTTTCCCGGGATTTGAAAGTTGCGGCAGTCAGCGTCGCTTCCCACTATCCCGTTTGGGCGGTATACCAAAATCTTATGTGATCCATAGATTGTGCAATCGATTTCATAGTACTGATTCCTCGCTAGGTCCACTGAAAAAAAGGCGTAAAATAATATCGTTGTCTAAGATCATTATTTGTGATTAACTTGCGACGGAGCAGGATGTCTAAGCGGATTTACCTGCGATCTTCTATTCTAGTGTGCAGGATCTTCTTGTAGGTACAGGAACACTCTTATCATCTTCATAAAAGAGATCTCTATAGCAGCAGAGCTTTCTCTTCTAGTTAGAAACTCTTTAATGATAAATTTTTAATTTGTGAGCTGTTGCATTTATTCCATAGAAGAGACCGGATATTCCCTAGAAAGTACTTTTGAGAATTTTATCTTTGGAATTAAAATGGAGAAAAGACTCGGTGCATCTGTAATTACACGCTATTTGTAATTATTCCTGAACCACTATCCGAAAAACTGATCAAAAATTTCAGGAAAGAATTTACTTGCTTGAAATTAAACAGCAAACCGATAACTTATTTCCCCCCCCCAACAACTTAGTACTATGCATTCTAGCAAGAACTGACGAAAACATTTTAGCGCACAGAGACATCGGTGGCGTAGCGTTTGATACAATGGCATCAGAAAGAGTCTACTTATGCGTTTACCTATTTCAGATAATGAATGGGCAAATTAAAGAAAATAATGGGTATCAAAATATCATACTTTAGGCGTCCTGTTAAGAGTAGGCCCGTTCTCATTCCCATTGCGAATTCACTCAAAATTCGCGTAAATCACATTGTGTTTTCAATATTTAATCTTACTTTCAGAACAACATTCTCTCTAAACTGTGAGCGTCGCGGGTCCCATGAGTTTCCTGGATACTTTTATTTTCTTCGTATATATCCGCTTCATGACAGCTACATACAAAACATTATGACGATCAAAACAATTTTTTTTAGTGTTGAATAAATACTGAAGAACGTAAAATTATATATTATAGTTAGCTATTAAAAAATACAAAAATTATACAGAACAATCTTACAAAAGATGCATCGCAACTATACTACTCGCATTTCCGTATCCGTGTGCAACGTGTATACGAGCCAATTTTCTCTTAAGAAGTTCTCCGCGAAGGCATCCCTTCCTTTACGCAATTTCGAGTACTTTGCCACAACTAAATAAACCAAACCATTTCTGTATCAGACAGTTATTGCGCTGGAAAAAGGCCAAAGGGCACATTTCTTTCGATTGCCGACTTTCAGCTGGGCTTTATGTGTCTATTCCGTTATCGGTAGGAATAGACGCTAGCATGCATAATTCAGTGATTAATATCCGAAAGCATATACATAAGCGAATGATTGATTAACTTTGCACAACTGAAAAGAAATATGAATCCTTTGAAATTGGGAGAATGGCCGAGTGCTTCGCGATAGTTTAATTTCATTGTCGAATAACAGCTGGATTTTTTTTTTTTTTTTTCCTATTACAAGCCTTTTAAAATGCTGTATTTCTCCGAATCAGATAACTTTAAAAAAAATTATATATTCTCAGAAAAAATTAAATTTTTCTTCGTATTTTTTCATCTTGCATTCATTCCCATTCCTCCTTATTCCCCTTAAATGTGATCCATTTAAAATTCTATAGCATCTTTCATTCTTTTAGCTACGAAACGCAGTTGGAATAGACATTCAAAAAACAGTTTCACAAATCGTTCTTCTTACGCACCTCGAGAATTCCGTAATAACAATCATAATAATAACAACAAAAGAAAATGAAAGAAAGAGAGCGAAAAAATAATAATCTAAAATTTTCTATTATTCATTTGACTATGGAACGTAATTTATTCCTATCTTCTCCCCTCCCCAAATATCTCCATCATCAATAAACAGCATTAGCAAAATTTTCGTAGACTCTTTGCCATACTTGTAATATCCAGGACTGTTTTTTCTCTAGTTTAGTGTAATTTGATGATTTCTTTTTCAATTCAGTACTCTTTAACTTAGCGCTATTCCGTTTAGTACGAAACGTTTGGCCTCATTATTACAACAACCAAATATAATTATCTAAACCTTGGACTATTTTGATTTCTTTACATATTTTGTGCATTTTATTTTGCGCAAAATCCGAGGTACTATTATTTTATCTGACGTTTTTAAATGAACATTATTATTTTACCAAAAAATAAAAATTTTGGAACAGAAGACGTTCAGAAAATAAATAAATAAACAGCATGCCTATCGGTTAACGGAATGCCAGACAATTCCGATGGGTTCAATTGAAGCGACTGGCGACCAGTCTCGTGCCTCTATTATAACGCTTTCTTTGCGTCATCGGAACTTCCGAGTAAAATGCCTCCTCTCGGGAACCTGTACGAATCACGTGGGTGTGAGGATGTGTGACCTCACTTCCGTCGCTGTTGCCTAAAGAATTGAAATTAAGCAGTGAATTTTGTTTCTACCGCCTCATTTCGAATCGGTACAGCATTTGAGAGCGGGAGTGCACACATGCTTGGTAGTTGTTTTGTTAAGAAATCAACTTGTTTTATGTTCAAACAAAGTTTGTTTAGAAAAGAAAAATGATTATTTTTTCGTCAACTGCGGGAATAAAGTTTTTTTCGTGTTTAGTTCAGCTAGTGATATTTTCTAGGATTTCCGGGTATAACTTGGACACGAAATTTCCTATCTTTTATGAAAGTTTACCTGGAAATTACTTTGGTTATTCTGTTGCTCTTCATCGTAATCGAGATGGACCCATGTGAGTATTAAAACTGTTTTAATTTAGTTAATTTAAAATTTAATGTATAAAAATTGCTCGATGATTTTAAGGCAGTTTCGAAGACAATAATACAAATTTATACTGTTTGGTCTAGAAATGTTTGTAAATATGCTTTATATGGCTTGACAAATGTTTACATTCACTTACTTAATATCTGATTTAAATGCTTTGCTTTTATTTCATTATGGTTTCGGTTTGAATATTCCATACTAAAGTATTACCTAGTGGTAATCGAATTATAATATTCCGTACTAAAGTATCCACTAGTATTACCTAGTGGTATTTAAATTTTCTTGATAACTCTTGATGAAATTTCTTTGAAGAGTAGCTGACAATTGCAAATCCAAAATTTAAAATCCATGTTTTTATGTAAAATTAAGAAGAAAAAAAAAAAAAAAAACCCTCGATTGGTGTAATTAATCTTTTTCTTAATTTTACATTTTAGAGTGGCGTATTTCTTTTCCATTTAAATGAATTTTATTTTGGTTTACACGTACTGGGACTAACAAGCGAAAGTAATTATCCAGAAAATCTTAACAAGTATAGGTACAGAAAGATGCACTAGAAATATTTAAATTCGATAAACGGTATTTTACTCTTTTGGGGGAAGAATAAAATTAGATGAGGCAATGGGTTTATGATGTGCGTGAGGGAAAAGTTAACTTATCTGAATTTTTTAGGGTTTCTTATCTTAAGATACAACCTATGTTCACAGTTTCATTAAAAATCAATTAATGCTTTAGGCTCCTCGCGATAGTGACTTGTGCGATCTCCTAAATCCTCCTGTGAGATGATATTTAATCGACAAATCGGTATTTTTTCACCCGACATATTTGAAGAGTTTGAATTGCTTTTAGCCTTCCCATCCTTGGTCGCAAAAATTCAATATTATTCTCTCCCTCTATCGCAGAATTTACAATAGGGCCAGAAAGTAATATTTTCATTTATTATATTAAGTTTATATTTTGTAGCGCACTGATGATTTTGCTCTTCTGGAAGATCCGGCTATCTTTCTGGAATCAGAACTACACCTGAATTACATAATTGGCTGAAGTTTTAAATAATCAGTTTAATGTTAATGTTTGAGAAATAAAAAAGGGGATGATTAAAAGTATCTGGAATTGTTTTACAAAATATGTCGCATTGATAAAATACATGTATGAAAAGTTATTCAGTTATAGGTATAACTAAATAGATTTAAACAGGATGTGTAAAGATGCGTCAGGTACATGCGGTGATTTGAAATTATGAAAATCTTAAGTCCCTCGTATAATCACTGTCTACAGAATAGTTCAAAGCTCTTGCAAGTTCATTGACGTGTATTGCGAATATGATGATTGTTAATTATTGTATAGGTTTTCATTTAGTAATTATTTAATCTTTCGCGCTAGAAAATGTATGTTGGAGTTTACACCTGATTTATTTTTATTGAGCGTTAGGACTCTGAAAATATAAGCATATTTTTAGTTGTATGAATATTTTCTGATCTAAGCAGTCTGAATACATTGCCATTGGAGTTCGAAAAATCAAGGTAATAGTTAAACATACCACTATGTATGTATTTTTTAATACTTTTGCTCATACCACTGATAGCTTTATATTGCAACAAACTTTGAGAACTTTAATACTATAATAACTTCATCATAAATTGAGTACTTCATCATAAATTTAGGTTACTTTTTCCTATAACATGGATTATTTTTTCTGAATGAAAAAAAAGAAAAAAATCACGCAGTGTAGGATTAAAATTTTAGGGGGCGATTTAGTTAAATTCTAATTTATTCTTAAGGTTAATATAATTTTGCTGAAAGTGTAATTTTTACTTTTGCTATGCGATAATGTTGCTGACAGAAATGTGCTACATAATTGCTGATTATGAAATAAACTGTAATTCTGAAGTTGTATTTTTTATGCGGGGAGCGTTATCGCTATCATATTTACATTTGAATGCATTTAACATACTTTAAGCATGTAGTATACCACCTGAAAGAAATACTTGATTAAATATACAAAATTCACTTGATCGCCTGATCGAACGTTATATTTCTGGCGACTAAACGGGCTGACTGAGTATTCCCGGAATGCTTTCCGTCGAGCAGCGGCGGGACGGTAAAACTGCTGACCTGGGTTTGGGTTATGGGTTATTCAATTATAGCAAAGCACATGAGGGCTATCTGCCTAAAGGGAGGGATGCCTTCGTGGAGGACTTTCTAAGGGAAACTGGCTCGTATACACGTTACACATGGAGAAAACCACGAAAACGCCCATGCAGCCTGCCCGTTCGCGGAATTCGAACCTCGGACCGAACTACCAGTGTTCTGCGCCTTTATCGCTTGGCCGCTGACCTGGGTTTAAATCCCTGCGAACGGGCCGGCTGCACTGCTGTCTTCGTGATTTTCTCGTGTGTAACGTGAATATGAGCCTGTTTTAAGCCCTCCACGAAGGAATCCCTTCCCTAGGCTAATAACCGTCGTGTACTTCCCCATAATCTAAATAAAAATCGAATGCCTTGCATATACCTATAGTGTTCTGTTGCTTAAAAATTAAAATGGTTATGTTATTAAAATGCTTAATCTAAACAAGTTTTAAAAAAATACGATACTGAAGGTAGACATACTGCAAAAATATTAAAATAACATGTTTACTTATGATTAGCAAAAATTATTGACAGATCCTTGATGAATAAGGAGTTCCTGAAACTATATTGAAACACTTTTCTTGCTACGTAATATTTTATACATTCATACTCATCTTTAAAAAATATGAAAACTTCTAATGTCACTTTTTTTTTTTTTTTTTTTTTTTTTTAACGGTGTGTGTTAAAAGTTTGCTTGAAAGCAATCGAAACTGCTGAGGTTTCGGTCTTAAAAAAAAAAGGTGATTTTTTTTAAAATATATTTATCATATAATTGTTCCGTAAATCCTAAACTGTGTTTTATAACTTAAAAAAATTTGTCTTATTTGCGTTTTAGCAGAAGCAGTTTGTCTATTTCATTACCAGCATTAGTCCTAGCTCGAATAACTTTAAGCTTAATCACTATGCTATAGGCAAAGTTGTACTTATAAGTTGTATGAAATTGTATTAACACTATTTGTCTACTGGATCTAGGGATCCTTTGTAAACATATCAGATTTATTTATAATTCTGAAAAAAGAATTTTATTCTAATAATTCTCATTCATTTCAAACACTTTCATTAAATCAATTTAAATACTTTCATTTCGAGGAAGCAGGTTTGTTGTTGGATACTCGTTAAGATTTCAGATATCTTTTTCAGTTTTAAATATCGCTGTAAATTTAAAGAGTACTTATTAATTAAAAGTTTTCCAATCAGTTACCGTTTAAGAAAATATTCCATTAAACAAAATTATCATAATTGCGTGAACATGATATTTATATTTTGAAATTAGAATCACAATTTTGTTTCAAGACTGATGTCTGTAGCTGTTGTCTATACTCGTTTTTTTTTTTTTTTTTTTTTTTTTTTTTTTGTGGTAGATTATGGGAAAGTATATGGCAACGGGTATCTGTCTTGCTTTGGGAAAAATTGCTTCCGAACGAAAGTGACTCATATTTGTGTTGCTACACCCCAAAGAAAAAACCGTGACAACTTTCATGCAGTCAACTTGTCTCGCCGGAAATCAAATCTCGGCTTCCCGTAACCACTAATAATCAGTAGTTTTGGGCGCCCTTTTTTTTTTCTTGTATGTGATACTGCAATCAAAAACCGAATTGCACATTGAGCATTCCGGTATCTATTGCTAAAGCCCTATTATATTTGTAATTGGTTCCCCTTATATGCAGACTTTTAGGTTCTTTTTAATTGTTTGTGGATGGTAACTTAGGATGTGCAAAATTCTAAATGCTTTCAGACACAATTAAGTCAATTTCAACAAATTTATATTGCCTCTATCTTTTTAATTGGAAAGATAATGTACAGTAAACCCTTGCCGAAGGTTGCGGAGGTTGTCGTTGCGCGTGCGAAATATCGCGTTCCGCAAAGTTAAATAAATGTCTGTGGGGAGTTGGGAATGGTTAGGTATTGTTCAGATTAGAAAGTTTGCATAATTTATACAATCTTAAATACTATTGTAATCAAAAAGGAAGAATGAAACAAATGATAATTGAAAGAATTTCTATTAATGCTTAATAAGTAGGTACATGATGCATTATTTTTTTAAATAGCTGAGGATTTTTGCTTGGGACCATGTTTGACGCAGCTCATTAAACATTTTGTGGTTACAAATGTAAAATTTTTCAATACCTTTTTATAAAGCGTCCTCTTCTTTCTTCATTTGGTTCAGTCTCCATTACAAAATCAGGCAATTTCTGCGTCTTTATCTTCTGCGTCTAGGCTCTTTATCTTCTTCACTATCGCTGCTTTCACTAAATTGGCCAGCATCAACTAGCATTAGAAGAACATCCAATTCTTCCTTTGTCATTTCACGATCGTCATTCTCGACAAATTCTTTAAAAATCGTCTTGTTTCATATTTGAAAATCCTTCCCTGCTTATTGCTTTTTGCAATTTGTACTGTTTCCTTGGCTTCATTTTTGGAAACCCTTAAAATTTTTGGCAAAATCTGGCCGCGCTGATGCCAGCAAGCATTCATTGTTGACGAATTCAGTTGTTCTAATGAGAGTTAAATCATTTCTATTTAGTGTCTTATGTTGAATAATTTCCAAAATGCCATTAGTGTGTCCTGCTTTCCTTAGTCTATCGCTTTATTTGAAGAAATGGAAACATTCCTGACATGATAGGCTTCGAATTTTTTTACGATTCCTTGATTCAATGGTAGATTAAGGAAGTGGTGTTCGGTGGAAGGAATAAAGTTTCTACATTTGTAGGCATTTTTGTGAAGGCTTCAGTTCCGTGTCCTGGAGCATTATCGAGAAGTAGAAATTTAAAGCTCAGATTTTGCTGTTCTAAAGAACGTTTAACTTCTTTAATGAATGAATTTTCAAACCAGTCATTTAAAG